AATCTGAGACTACTGTAGGCTCATTTCTAGAGCATGGTTTTGAGCTAGGCCATTTATTCAATCTTCTTCAATAATTTAAACGTATATGGTCCAAGTTTAATCTCCGCATCGTTGCAAGCATCGACAGAAGCGGCGCAAAATCACTTGACCAAGGTACTTTTCTTTTTAGTATACAGAAGCAAAATATCCTTCTAAACGGTAACTATATATAATAGCTATAAAGTATAAATCTATGGTATCTTTATTCAAACACTCACGGTGCACAATGATAGTGACCTCTTCAGTTACGGGGTTTCCAATACCATTGTCTGCAATACATCTGTACAGCCCCTCGTTCTGTTTACCGGTGATTGTCAAAGGGAATGACACAGGGCTGTTGTCAGTTACTCTTGTCCAGGTAATGGTTGGTGTTGGATAACCATCTGCTGTGCAGTTTAGACTCACACTGTCACCTTTATTCAGTGTCTGATTATCTGAAATGGATGTAATGTTTGGCATATCTTTGGGAGGAGAAAAAAATGTTCACAATCATGAAAACGACAATAAAATAGCAAAGGCTATGGTATAACCATATATGGCAGACATGAGCTCTTTCCAATAGCCTATCAAACGAAAGGAATAGTCGTAAAGTACACCTGGTAGTAACTATCACTTGACTTTTAGACTTGTAAAATGTTATTTATACAGCATGTACATGCGCCGCACAAAATGAACGTAATTACATGATGTGACTAAGTGCCAAATTGTAATAATATTATAATTTGTCTTTCTCTCAATAAAGGGTGTTTGCTGAAAAAAGCCTATCAAATTTTCATAACTGAATATGACAAGGGAGGCGGCGTGGCCGAGTGGTTTAGGGCGCTGGATTTGAAATCTGGAGGTCCCTGGTTCAAATCCTCCGCCCTACCGCTGTCTGGATTTGCTCTCGGTAGCCCCGAGTTCAACTCCTCGGCCGCGTTGTGTAAATAGCCAACTGATCAGCCTCCCACCAGTTGGGATTCTTAATAGTTTATTTTATAATTGAAATATTTGTTTACTTATTTACAGTGTCCCCAATTGGCACATTAGTGCTAAATACACCGACACTTAAATAAAGTGATTATTATTAAAACCATTAACCTGCTAACACTAAGACTTAGAAACAATAAAAGGAAAAGTTATGAAAATTACAAAGACTACAAGCTTGAGGATAGTCACTGTGTAGTAAAAAAAGAACTGAACTTATGTTCCTCTGTAAACAAGAAAACTGAGTATAAAACAAAATTTCAATTTAATGTCTACATGATTAGTCCATGGTCAGCTACCTTAGCCCACTTATTTTCTCATCATTCTTTTTGTACACTGTACCATGATACTGTCGTAAACAAACATAAAGGATTAGGAATGTGTAACACCTGTGTAGCACATTCCTGATAAATCTATCTCACAAACAAAGCTGTTATTATTATTTTTTAATTATTTAAGCTCTCATTTTGGTTAAAAACTGTATTCCTGAATAACTAAACAGTTTTGTGCATGTTAGTGTGGGATTATTTTAATTAATGCAGAATTTCTGTTGCTGACCAGCTCATAGCAAACATCGCAAAGAAAGACATTGATCGTCAGTACAGGTAAATAACATTACATGTAATAGTTAACTTACACTGTACAAAAATACTTGCTGTCTCTGATGCATTGCCACACTCATTACTGGCTTCACACCTGTATTCTCCAGATTCATTTCTGTTAATGTTTGCTAACACCAGTTCATTTCGGTTTGTAAGCGTATGACTGCCAACCTTGATCCAGGACACCATTGGTGAAGGCATCCCAGATGCATAACACGACAGAGTCACGTTGTCGCCTTCTGTTTTTGTCTCATCTTGTATTGGAGGTATCGTAGAAGGCACTGCAAATAAACATATTTACATGAACAAATGATATATACTTCTAACATTATGACATACAACTTGCACTAGTAACCTATGCTAAAACTAGAAAGAGCTCGGCAACTGTAAAGCTTTACCAATGCCGTGTTATCATGAGAGAGTTTACAACATCTAATAATTATTTGTTTCCGCTTACTGCACTTGCTAACTCAAATTTTTTCTTTATTTCATCTCCTTACGAAGATGTTTACATACAGGGCTAGATTGTTCAAAGCCTGATTAAGCTAAAACAGGATTAGCAAGAATTTTGATTTTATTTTGTAACTTTTCAGGGAAGTTTTCTGTCAATATTGTTTGCCCTACAGTTTAGAGTTGGAGTAATCTCAAACGACACAAAACGTAAGAAGTGATAATCCTCCTAAGTTAACATTAACCGGCTTTTGAACAACACTGCCCAGTAGAACTAAATAACAATAAATAACTTAGCTCTGTTTTAATTGTTTAATTTCAAGGTTTGTTCAATATTGCAGTGAAAGGCCAAATTTGATATATTAAAATTTAACAAGGCTGTCAGGCTTAGGGGACTAAAAGAAGACGTGGATGTTGAGGCACGAATGAACAGTTTCTTTGTTTCAGTCCTGTAAGCCTTTATGCCATGTTAGAAATTTAATAATTATAATGAACTTGACCCATTTATTAAAACTGACGGCGGCAAAAGTCGCACTTGTTAGGACGATTCTGAACTTCGTAGTTTGCGTCAGATTGACAAGCGCAGTGGTGCAGGTCATGGCTCCTTTATAATCACTTCCAAAGGTCATGTCACAGTTTATTCAACCCCGTGCGAAGGCTTAGAAGATGAATGGAGGAAAGAAATTTCTCACATTTCCCAGAACACCTTTCATTTCACTAACAAGTGTAACTGCTGTTACAAGAGAAATGTCTTGCTTAAGAGATGTGTTACGGAGCTGTTTAGCTTCTTCTGGCTCGACTGAGGGCAAAGTGGTATTTGCAGTACAGTACTGCTGAGTTGCCGTGCTGATTAAGAAAAACAAACACTCAACAGCACTAGATGATGAAAGAAAAATTCCTGAACTTCAACAATTATTACATGTATCTTTGTTCACATGTACTGTAAATGTTAAATTTTGCTCTTATTGTCTGTTCAATTGAAGGAATCATTGAATAATTTACTCACTTTCTCATTGAAGACCTGGAAATATGCAGCCAAGGTGTATCGACACCACCTGCATTCCATAGTTCCCGTTGGTTAATCAGCTAAACCACACTTAATAAGGTGGTCAACTGTTGTAAAATCTTGGTTGGCTTACTAACAAATATTCCAACATTCACTTCAGTGAAGTTCAAAACCTTTGTAAAAATCCCTCATGAAAACACTGGGTAATTGCATATAAGATTATTGAATCTCACCAAGTTATGAATGGTTCTGTAAAAGGGAGAAAAGTGTATTGACTTTTGTGAAAAACCATGAAGGCTTCAGGGATACCCCCCTCATGAGGATTAAAAATGTTATTCATTGCCAAATGGTAAACTCTGAGCATTCCTACCGTAGGTCGGAGGTGTATCTTCATACATGTACAGTACCGTACGTTACTTTGCATAGGTGGTAGGAAATAAATAATTTATTTAAGCATTGTTTAGACTCATATTAACAAAACAGTAGTTAAAAGAAATAATTGTTTACCGTTAACAATTATAGTAACACTTTCACTTTCTATTGATCCTAAAGAGTTGTTGGCCACACATTTGTAGATGAACACTCCTCCACTTGATAAATTCCTGCTCCACATTCCTGATGCGTCTGATACCACAGAGCCATTCTCCAACAGCTCATAAGATGTGACAGATGGAACAGCACCAGCTGAGCAGTTAATGCTGATAGTTTCACCTTTACATACTTTATTGTTAGCGGCAGATGTCTCGAACTGCACATTCTCTGGTGGGACTGCAAAAAAGTACCATATAGATGTAATTATCACGTAAAACTCCTACAAGTATCCACAATAATAATAAAAAATTAATATGGCTTAATACACCGGTGACGTGTGTATAATTTTACATAACTGCTACTAATCAATCAATCAATCAATCAGTCAATCAATCAATCAAACAATCAACACTTCTAATCAAGAAGACCCATGAAGCAACTCTTACCTAGAAACTATTTTAATGGGCATAAAGGCTTCTTGTTGTTGTTGTTGTTTTTTTTTTCAATATTTATTAATTTATAACTATAATTATTTAACATTCACTTTGCACTTTTTTCTTTTCCTTTTTTTTTTCTTATTTCCATTCTCTGGCCCTATTCAGAGAAACTAACAGGTTATGAAAACATGCTTTGCCTCAAATTAATATGTCCAATCCTCATCGCATTAGTGTGATACACTGCACATGTACCTAAACTGTAAACTGCTTGGTACACAACAAGATAAAAATATTTACTTACCATTAACAGTTACAGTGACACTTTCACTTTCTATTGATCCTAAAGAGTTATTGGCCACACATTTGTAGATGAACACTCCTCCACTTGAAAATGTCCTGCTCCACATTCCTGATGTGTCTGATACCACAGAGCCATTCTCCAACAGCTCATAAGATGTGACAGGTGGAACAGCATTAGCTGAGCAGTTGATGCTGATAGTTTCACCTTTACATGCTTTGTTGTCAGCTGTAGATGTCTTCAATTGAACATTCTCTGGTGGGTCTAAAAAGTAGGAAAAAATAGTTTAATATTTTTTTGGGTTGTCTCAAACAATTCTCTCCTACATGTAAGTTTTGGACTGAAGGATCACTTATCATGAGCAATAGTGGAGAACTGAATGGTATTGTACACTGTAGATATTTCAAATGTGATTGTCCAGGTCAGCCCCAACTCCAATTTAGACTAATACATGTACGCTGTATCTTAGTTCTCCCCTTTTTGGCCATCATACCCTTCATGTTACAATATCTGTGTACAAGCAATCATTTCATTGAGTAAACATAATTCCGAATACACCAATCCCACCTCCTGAAGCATACAACATCAAAAGACAAATATTTAACTACAAGACAAATGACACTGTAATACCTGTACCACTAGTAAAGTAAAATTGCATCAGTAACCATTTCTCTTACATGCATTAATCTCAGTTCTCGTAAATTTCTTTCTTTCTCACCGGTGCCCCTCAATTTTTTTTTTTCTCATATTTTATAGTACACTATAGCTCTGCAATTTCTGCAATGTCCTCAAAGATTTCCCTAACAAATTTTCACTTGCCAATTAGAGAGGAAAGCACAGGATTCACTATCCCAAACTGCAAAATCCACTAGACCCAGCCTATTGGACATGACTTTCCCTGCATGCTGCCCATGCTTCATTTGGAATTAATTAAGTACTAAAAACTGATACTTACACTGCACTTCAATTGCTGCTGTCTCTGATGCATTCCCACACTCATTACTGGCTTCACACCTGTATTCTCCAGCTTGACTTCTGTTAATATGGGTCAACACTAACTCACTTCCATCAAAATGCTCACCACCATCAACCTTGATCCAAGACACCATTAGTGGAGGAGTTCCAGAGGCATTACATGACACAGTCACATTTTCACCTTCTTCTGCTGTCTTATTTTGTATTGGTTGTATGAAGGATGGAACTGTGAACAAACAAGTTACAAGAAGAACAAGAAGCTTAATCTTTTTTTTTTCTCCAATTGATACATTTCAAAGAATGGTTCATCTCCACTGACAGTAAAAAATAAATGGCACTCACACTGTATGGAATTATGTACAGAACAAACACTTCCTACTTTAATGCCTGAAATATTGATATAAGCTGTATGTGAACAAATCCTAGAATACTCTGTAAGAATCCAACCACCATTTTGCAAATGACACTGTCAAAATGAAATTCATGTCAAAATGATATTAGCCTAGATTGATTCTCAATTTCCTTTGTCTTCTAACCCTAATTATTCATGATCCATGAATAATTAGCATTAAAAGACAATGTAATTTCATTTTGACCTAAAATAATGATGTACATGTAGTTGTTCAACAGGTGTACTGTGCTGTATTAATTTTTCACATGATTGTAATAGTACATGGCAGTGTATGTCAATTTGTAAATTCTGTTGCTGAGTTATCCATGTACCTACATTGTATGTGTCTACAAAAATATTTTTTAATGATTAGACACATAATTAACAAGCCACCAATGAAAAAGAAACAAAATTACCATTGACAGTAACAGTAACACTTGCACTTTGTCCTGTTCCCAACGAGTTGTTAGCCACACATTTGTAGACGAAAGTTCCTTCAGTTGTAAAGTTCTTGGTCCACATTCCTGTTGTGTCGAAGATAGCAGTGCCATTCTCGAACAGCTGATATGATGTCACAGATGGAACAGCATCAGCTGAGCAGTTAATGCTGATAACATCACCACGACATGCTTTGTTATCAGCTGCAGATGTTTCCAATTGCACATTGTCTGGTTTGACTGAGAAAAGATTCATTTGAATCATTTAGTTTGGAATGTGTGCAGCAAAATAATAATGCATTAGTTAACATATTACAATACGCTTTTTTAAGTCACGTAGTCCACAAATCCAGTCGCTGATTATCAGTTTTAGCCTACTGTGCCATATAAACTTTACAATGTACTTTAAGAGTAAAGTACATGTAGCATTTATGATTTACATGTACAGTATATGACACTTGACCAAAATTATTACACCAGCCTCTGTTCAATTCTGTATGACACTTGAAACTTACGTGTAAATTCAGTACTGTACATACTATAAGTAATGGCAACAAAATTCATGAAACATTGCACTGTGTACGATTGTGATATAAATTCGCATTGCATAAATGAAATGTTTTTGTAACAAAGTGCGCACACTGGTCCTACCTAATTCCTATTGAGCCATCATGATAGAAATCTCTATGTACATATGGCCGTGTGTATATAAGATGATGAGGGCAGTTTCATTTTAGCTGCAAATTTTCCGTTGAGTTTAATGCAAGTTCCTTTTGTTAAAGTTTTGGCTATGAGAATATCATTCTCAACAATACAAATCCTACTCGAAGCCTTTGACTTTTGCCAAGCTAAGATGTTTACTAAAACTTGGGTATTTTGACTTTGTTTGTCTACGATGCTATGTTCAATTTGAATTATTTGTTTCAATCAGTTGTTTGCTCAGCCCCACTAGCACTTGTGCTAAAAACATTGCTAGGGGTAAATAAAGGTTATATAAACATTTTCATTGAGTATTTTTGACTTTGTTCGTCTACATTTTCAGTATAATAATTTAAAGAAGCGAATTTTTCATTGGCAACTTTAGAAACGAGATGAAGCATTTTTTCGTTCAATTGTTGCTCAGCTGATTGTGGTGTGTTTTTAACCAGGCAATGGGATTCTTTGTTTTCCTTCACCCTGCATTGTGGAACTTTGTAGTCAATCACAAATAAAACATGTCTTAGTGCCCAAGTTGTTGTCGCTATGTTATTAAAGAATTGGTTCACACTTTTAGCTGTGCATATATCAAGTTATGGATGCACTCGGAAAGTTTGGTGAACACTCAAGAAGCTAGAGTTAATCTCGGGTGTGCTTTGAGCAATTCTTACGTTTCTCTCATGCTTTCTCATGCATCCAAAACTCTATATACGCAGAGGGTTCCTGTTTTATGAGTCAAATGAGTCAAGTTATGAGTCAGTTCAACGGTTTTCAAAATTCAAAATGGCGGACGTCGCAAAACTTAGAGTAAGTACTGATTGTCAATTTGGTGGTTCGCCACCCAACAATTTTTGTTTCTTGAATTCATTTTAATAGACGAACAATTTCAGAGGTTGGAATTACTCAAAGGACACTAGTTACAGCTAAAGACCTTGGAATTTTCTTGCTGAAATGGGTTGGAAAAGAGTGGCGACTGCCATCACTTGATCACAACTGTACAAGCGTTTTATTGATGACATCTTTGCTATCCGGTGTGGGCCCAAAGGTACCCTTTTTGAATTTCTTAATGCTCTCAACAGCAAAACTGATTGAATCAAACTTACTTATTGTATTTGCGAAAGAAGCATTTCTTTTCTGGATTTGTTTCTCTATAGAGATACCTCTTCGAATGACCTCTTTGAATTTAAATGTCTTCAGAGATTTCCCTAAAAAAATTTCACCTGCCAATCAAAGAGGAAAGCACAGAATTCACTATCCCAAACTGCAAAATCCACTAGGCCCAGCCTATTGGACATGACTTTCCCTGCATGCTGCCCATGCTTCATTTAGAGTTAATTAAGTACTAAATACTGATACTTACACTGCACTACAATTGTTGCTGACTCTGATGCATTCCCACACTCATTACTGGCTTCACACCTGTATTCTCCAGCTTGACTTCTGTTTATGTGGGTCAACACTAACTCACTTCCATCAAAATGCTCACCACCATCAACCTTGATCCAAGACACCATTACTGGAGGAGTCCCAGACGCATTACATGACACAGTCACATTTTCACCTTCTTCCGCTGTCTTATTTTGCATTGGTTGTATGAAGGATGGAACTGTGAACAAACAAGTTACAAGAAGAACAAGAAGCTTAATCTTTTTTTTCCTTCAATTGATACATTTCAGAGAATGGTTCATCTCCACTGACAGTAAAAATAAATGGCACTCACACTGTATGGAATTATGTACAGAACACTTCCTACTTTAATGTCTGAAATATTGATATAAGCTGTATGTGAACAAATCCTAGAATACTCTGTGAGAATCCAACCTCCATTTGCAAATGACACTGTACATGTATGTTGTAGGTCAAAATGAAATTCATGTTAAAATGATATTAGCCTAGATTGATTCTCAATTTCCTTTGTCTTCTAACCCTAATTATTCATGATCCATGACTAGCTAGGGTTAAGAGACAAAGTCATTTGAATTCATTTTAACCTGAATTTCATTTTGACCTACAATAATGATGTACATGTAGCTGTTCAACAAGTGTACTGTACTGTGTTTTCAAATGATTGCAGCAGAAATTGGCAGTGTATGTCAATCAATAAAGTATGTTGCTGAGTTATCCATGTACATACATTGTATGTGTCTACAAAAATATTTTTTTAATGATTAGACACATAATTAACAAGCCACCAATGAAAAAGAAACAAAATTACCATTGACAGTAACAGTAACAGTTACACTTTCTCCTGTTCCCAAAGAGTTGTTAGCCACACATTTGTAGATGAACGTTTCTTCAGTTGTAAAATTCCTGGTCCACATTCCTGTTGTGTCTAAGATAGCAGTGTCATTCTCAAACAGTTGATATGATGTCACAGATGGAACAGCATCAGCTGAGCAGTTAATGCTAATATCACCACCACGACATGCTTTGTTATCAGCTGCAGATGTTTCCAATTGCACTTTGTCTGGTTTGACTGCAAAAAGATTCATTTGAATCATTTAGTTTTGAATGTGTGCAGCAAAATAATAATGATAACTAGTTTTAGCCTACTGTGCCATATAAACTTTACAATGTACTTTAAGAGTAAAGTAGCATTAATGATTTACATGTACAGTATATGACACTTGACCAAAATTATTACACCAACCTCTGTTCAATTCTGCATGACACTTGAAACTTAAATTCAGTACTGTACATACTATAAGTAATGTAAACAAAATTCATGAAACATTGCACTATGTGTAAGATTGTGATATAAATTCGCATTGCATAAATGAAATGTTTTTGTAACAAAGTGCGCACACTGGTCTTACCTAATTCCTATTGAGCCATCATGGTAGAAATCTCTATGTACACATGGCCGTGCGTATATAACATGAGGGCAGTTTCATTTTAGCTGCAAATTTTCTGTTGAGTTTAATGCAAGTTCCTTTTGCTAAAGTTTTGGCTATGAGAATATCATTCTGAACAATACAAATCCTACTTCAAGCCTTTGCCTTTTGCCAAGCTAAGACGTTTACTAAAACTTGGGTATTTTGACTTTGTTTGTCTACGATGCTATGTTCAATTTGAATTATTTGCTTCAATCAGTTGTTTGCTCAGCCCCACTAGCACTTGTGCTAAAACATTGCTGAGGGTAAATAAAGGTTATATAAACATTTTCATTGAGTATTTTTGACTTTGTTCGTCTACATTTTCAGTATAATTAATTTAAAGACGCAAATTTTTCATTGACAACTTTAGAAACGAGATGAAGCATTTTTTCGTTCAATTGTTGCTCAACTGATTGTGGTGTGTTTTTAACCAGGCAATGGGATTCTTTGTTTTCCTTCACCACACATTGTGAAACTTTGTAGTCAATCACAAATAAAACATGTCTTAGTGCCCAAGTTGTTGTCACTATGTTATTAAAGAATTGGTTCATGCTTTTAGCTGTGCGCATATCAAGTTATGGATGCACTTGGGAAGTTTGGTGAGCACTCAGACAAGAAGCTAGAGTTAATCTCGGCTGTGCCTTAAGCACCTCTTACGTTTCTCTCATGCTTTCTCATGCATCCAAAACTCTATATACGCAGCGGGTTCCTGTTTTATGAGTCAAATGAGTCAATGAGTCAAGAGTCAATGAGCCATGAGTCAAGTTATGAGTCAGTTCAGCAGTTTTCAAAATTCGAAATGGTGGACAGCGCAAAACTCAGAGTAAGTATTGACTGTCAATTCGGTGGTTCGCCATCCAACAATTTTTGTTTCTTGAATTCACTTTAATAGACAAACAATTTCAGAGGTTGAAATTACTTAAAGGATGCTAGTTACAGTTAAAGATCTTGGAATTTTCTTGCTGAAATGGGTTGGAAAAGAGGGGTGACTGCCATCGCTTGATCACAACTGTACAAGCATTTTATTGATGACATCATTGCTATCCGGTGTGGGCCCAAAGGTACTTCTTGGAATTTCTTAACGCTCTCAACAGCAAAACTGATCAAATCAAACTTACTTATTGTATTAGCGAAAGTCGCATTTCTTTTCTGGATTTGTTTCTATATAGAGATACCTCTTCGAATAACCTCTTTGAATTTAAATGTCTTCAGAGATTTCCCTACAAAACTTTCACCTGCCAATCAGAGAGGAAAGTGCAGAATTCACTATCCCAAACTGCAAAATCCACTAGGCCCAGCCTATTGGACAAGACTTTCCCTGCATGCTGCCTATGCTTCATTTGGAGTTAATTAAGTACTAAACACTGACACTTACACTGCACTACAATTGTTGCTGACTCTGATGCATTCCCACACTCATTACTGGCTTCACACCTGTATTCTCCAGCTTGACTTCTGTTAATATGGGTCAACACTAACTCACTTCCATCGAAACGTTCACCACCATCAACCTTGATCCAAGACACCATTAGTGGAGGAGTCCCAGAGGCATTACATGACACAGTCACATTTTCACCTTCTTCCGCTGTCTTATTTTGTATTGGTTGTATGAAGGATGGAACTGTGAACAAACAAGTTACAAGAAGAACAAGAAGCTTAATCTTTTTTTTTTTTTCCTCCAATTGATACATTTCAGAGAATGGTTCATCTCCAATGACAGTAAAAATAAATGGCACTCACACGGTATGGAATTATGTACAGAACAAACACTTCCTACTTTCGTGCCTGAAATATTGATATAAGCTGTATGTGGACAAATCCTAGAATACTCTGTGAGAATCCAACCTCCACTTGCAAATGACACTGTAGAATAGCAAAACACTATTCCGAGTTTGAGTAGCCAATCAGAATGTGCGAGAAGCACTATCCACTGGTTTGGTATATACATGTATTTAGTTCATCATAACTATAATTTTATGCCAAGTTTGAATTTCATTGAAATGCTATAAGAATAGCTTCTTTTGCCAATTTGGTGAGCCACAAATTAAAGGCTTGTACAAACAAAGATCCTTGTTAGCTAAATCTGATTTTTACAACATGAAGCAATTATCTTACTCACCATTAACAGTAACAGTAACACTTTCACTTTGTCCTGTTCCTGCAGT